TTAGGGGACGATTACTCAAAAACCTGACGTGATGGAGAAATTCTGATGACGGATTCGAATTCTACGCCAAAAATTACTTCGGAAATGACCCTCAGTTGCAAAAGAACAAAACCTTGCAGGCCTGTGTTATTATTGTTATTGAGAGTGATTTTGTTGTTTTATAAATGTGATTATAGTGTTTGAGGGGGTAAGATTGAGAAAATTTTATGGTGGGAGTTGGGAAGAATTAGGAGGAGATGTTTGTGTTAGATTTGTAAATTGCATGACTTTGGGATATGTCAAGAGATTGATAAGAATGTTGGCACATTCTTCGTGTGAAATTAGTATGTTGTTAAATAAGTATCCGTTAACATGTTGAATGATGTGTAATTGATCAATGTTGTGTTCGTCTGTTTCGATTGGTTCATCTTGTTGTGAGAAGTCATGAGTGATACCAGTTATTTTAGGATTTAAATTGTAGTTACCACAAGGATTTATTAGTGTTTCTAGATGATCTTGAGATAGAAGTGCTTTCTGGATTTTTTGAGGTTATTTGAGAGTATGAGAATGTATATTTATTTATATTGTGAAAAGATGAAGGTGAGAAGGAGTAAATAGGATAATTTGAAAGAGTTGATTGGGAGTTATTAAGATTTTTTTGAGATATTTCTTCGTAGGTGAGAGAGCTGTGTAAATCAGGTTAATTAGACAAATGAGATTTAGATTTTTCTATTTCTTTGTATTCTGTTTTAATTTCTTGCATAGATTTATTTTTTCTTATGGAGATAGAAAGTATTTTTTATTTAAAAGATCTGGTGGGACATATTTTATCGGTGGGAAGATGATTTTGATGACAGTTGAGGCAGGGGGGGTTCTTTTTTTGTCATTGTCTTGGCAGATATCGGAGGGATGATTGTTTCCAAAATATAGGATTATTTAATTTGCAGATAGCTTTAGTGAGACCATATCAATAGCAATTCGTGCAGAGCCTTATGTTAGGAATATATGTTAAGTTTAACTCTGAATAAATAGATGAAGTGTGGAAGTGTACGTCCTTTGAAGGAAATTTGGACGGTTTCGGTAGGAAGGTATGGAGGGTTTTTTTCATCTAATGTTTTTCTATTGAATCTACGTATTTTTATGGGGTGAGTGCCTTTGAAATGAATAGGGTTATATATATTTTAAAGAATCTCTTCTTTAGATAAATTTATGGGGATTCCGTTGAGTATGCCGTTTTTGGAAACGAAGGAATGGGGGACTATTGCTTCTAAATTATTGTTTTTTAAGATTTCAATATCATTTTTTAGGATTTTATTTGCAATTTTCCTTTGGTGGGTAATGATGATAAATCTATTTTTTCCTGAATATTTAATTTCATCGAAGGCATTGTCTGGAAAGAGGGGGATGAGTTTACAGGCTAGTTGGACAGATTTTATGGTTGTGTCATTGTGTTGTGGTGATTGGAGGATGATTTTATATGGGGGAAGAATGTGGCTAGTGTATTCAGAGATTTTCGGTAATTCTATTCTGTGAGATAAATTGAGTTGGGAGGGAGGGTTATTGGGCGAGTTGTCTATGTGTGGGAGTTTGTGTCTGTTTATGTTATCTGGGAGTCAATAGGTAGGTGTGCGGGGTCATTTTTTGTGTTTTTGTTCTTCTGTTGTGTTTGAGGAGGAGGACGGTTGGATGAGTGATATTTCGGTGTCATCAATTAGTGGTTGAGTATGTGAATTCAAAGGGGAGTACAAATTTATGTCAGGGGGTTCCATATCGTTAGGATTGTCTATGGTGGGACTGCGTTAGAGCAAGTCCCGAAGGGCAAGCCCCTTGAACACCTCAGATTATAGGTTAGCTCAGAGATATTTGAAGTATAGTTTATTTAGAAAGTATAGAAATGTTTACGAGATGTTAGTTGAGAAGAAAATGTCTGTTAGTAGTACGCTGTCACATTTATTTTACCAATAGATTTTTGTTTAAATTAATGTATTGAAATTAAATGAGAAGATGTGATGATTTCATCATTTTCATATCTTAACTCCCACCTTTTCATGAGGATCTGTAGCTGCTCGTTAGTCACATCTGGTCCAGGTGCTAACGGTAAGAGTAGGTCATATCCCATCATGCAAGCGCAATCCTCCGATGCTTTTCTGTAGTCCTCGCAATTTCCGTAGCATATCTGGCCTAGGACTCGGGCTTGATTCGTAGGATTACCTGCTCTGGATGGTCACTCCATTTTTACCGCTTCACTATTCAACCACATGACGATTCCATGTCGATACATTTCAGGTAAAATTACATTATCGCATGGTTCCGGGCTGTTGAATAAATTCAAGGGATCACTTATGACTCCTTCTTCAGTGATCACAAATCCGTGACCTTCTCCATAGACCTCCTCCAACTTCTTCAAAATTTTACTCGTTAACTTGTAGCACCATGGATACAAGACTAGTTGACACGATGCTGTCTTACTGACCACTAAGTCCCTTTTATTCTTCTTTACCTTCAAACCGGGAGCTTAATCACTAATCTAGCCATAAAATTCTAATTTTACTTCTTTCCTACTCCTAGAGACTACTTAATTTATTCGAGCACCAGGTGTCAAATTTAGCGTATTCTTTGTCCACTGTTTTTGGAGGAGCCTTGACAAGAAATTGCAGTATAAATTCACTCTAATAATAATTTATTTACTTATTTCTATTTTGTTATATAAAGATGCCCGAAAAAAAAATGTATTCACTAAAGGTTTAACAAATAGCTACTGTTTTCTGAATATAACTCGTCTACTTGCCTACTCCACACCTAAACTAATTCACTACCTCCTTGGTGGAACCGACACCTTTCGTCATCATTTTCTAATGACCTGCGATGTTCTGCAAAGGGACATTCCAAAATGTGCACCAACACGTCCTTATACTGTTTCCTTAAGTGTAACGCCGTACAGTAACGACAATCACGTACTGCTGATAACGGTACTTGACACACTGCACAATATCCAAATGTGAGTCGGTTCTCTGTATTAAGACTACCATACTCTATCTTAATTGTAAGCTTTTTACGGAGGCTTATTTCTAACGTCTTATTTAATTTTGACATCGTTTCTTTTATTTTATCCATTGTGTTAGATTGTATTATCTCACGGTTCATGTTCCTTGTATTGTTAGTGTCTACTTAGGTAGAAGTTTGATTTACGAGCGAGTTGAGAGGGTAAGGAGGAGGGATAGCTCATCGTTGATATTCGGACCGATAGTCAGAACTTCGACCAAGATAGTTTGAAGGTTTTCTGCCATATTTCTCTGATTCTGTAAAAATTGCTTTGCATCTTTTGATACGTGCACGGCTTCTACGGAAGCCTTCTCAATCGAGTCCGTTTCGAGGTTGATCTTAATGATCGTATGGTAGATGTCTTACATTATCTAGCATGCCTTGCAATTTGCTGAACTCCTTCATCTATTTCTCGATTGCCTTTGTTAACTGGACTGTAACCGAAATCTAAACCAAAAGATAAAATCTAAATAAATTTCTCATGATTTCTAGGATTATAATGAGTAAGAATGTTGACTCGTTATGTCTCTCTCTCCCTATTAGTTAATTACCTTTCTATGTATTAATATTATTATGTTGCATTTGAGATTATGCCTTATAGAATAACATTTACAGCAGTATGCAGATCAATTAATTATTGTTTACGATTACTAGCGCAAGGTATGTGACAGTAGGAAGAGAGAGAGAGGCACATATGCGACGGAGTGCTAACGCACGTGAGTTAAACTACGAGAGACATACATGTGCACGAGACGCGGGCTTGTTACTGTGCACGCTGATTGGTTGACGCAAACGCGCGCGTGGAGAGTTAGTGGGACCCGCGAGTTGAGTAACTTAGCGGAGAGCTTCGAAAGAGAACGGATGGGGACAGGACAAAGAGCTCGATACCTCAGGATTTTCAGCGACAACGTATTGACAACAATCGCAGAGAAAAGGAGAAGATTCCCTATCGTGTGTGAATCCTGTGCACGTTGTGATTGTATAGAGTGCAGTGCACAGGTCGTAGAGGAAGAGTTGCAACTAGCGAGGATGTATTCAGCGGAGTCGACGTTTCCGATATAGTTGTGACTAGCGAGGACGCAATATTTGTAAGTACCCGCTCGATAGCTATCTCTCTCTTGCTTGGCACGACATATGCTGTCTCTCCCTCTCTCGCGTATCGTTGTTATCTCTGTACGTATATTGCGCATCTGTGAGTTGACTCTCTATCCTTTTACCTAGTTCCTCTGTGTCCATTCTATTCGCGCTACGTCGTAATTCGCGCCTTTTCAGCTAAAGCGATGTAACCACGCCGTCTGAGCCGCACAGCGAACGACGCAGATGCATTCCTGACGACGCACCTAGTGTGCATGAAATATATACTTATATCTCTTATGTCAACGTGGTAAACCGGGCTAATTTATATATAGGATATAAATAGAAAAATTAAAAAGAATAGAGATTGACCTCACAATAATTTTAGGAAATAGTATCATGATTAAGTCTTAGATCGTCATTTACTTCCTCGCTAAAAATTACTAAAGACATTCACAATTCTTGTTTTTCACAAGAATTCTGCAGGTTTTCCTGTGAACGTAGTTTTGACCATCATTTGACTCAGTTGAGGTTATTTTGACTTTATGTTTAACTTTTAAACGTACTAGAATCACACAGCGCGCTACGCGCGCATCAAATTGATTTACTTTTTGCGTGATATAAATTATAACATATTTTTATAGAATAAATATTGTAATTATCATTTCTGTTCGAAAATTGATTAAATAATTACGTGAATGTGTATAAGTTTGTTAACAGTCAGCTATGATTTTCTATAAGTAAAGCTCTTTATAAACATAATTTTTAACTATGAAACTATTTTGTCGATGGCTCCCAAGAAAAATTTTAAGGGTATCCCATGATCGTACTCTAGACATTGCTACATATAACTGCCCATGATTAAAAACGTCTCTACGAAGATCAATTGCAATATTGTCAAATGTTTATCCTTGAGCTTTATTAATCGTCATTGCAAATGCTGATTTAACTGGAAATTGACGTCTTTTAAATGAAAATGGGTACTCATTAGTACAAAACAATGAGATGCGATTTAAAAATACTATATTATTAGATTTATCTCCTGTTAAAACTTGGCATTTCAATAAATGATGCGAAAAATCTAATATTCGTAAAGGTGTACCATTGCATAAACCTTCATGAATACTAATATTTCGAATAAGCATAACAATACAGTTTTTTCTTAATCGTAATTCATAGGGAGGTAAACTGGAAGGATTTAAAGAATTTAAATATTCAGGTAAAAGTACTTCATCAAATTCCCCATTATCACAATTATCAGTACTATCGATTGCAGTATAAACATGTTCCGTAGTGATATCTAGTAAATTAGTAATTAATTTATTCATCTCATCAACGTCGGCGTTTCTGGCAGATAAAATAGCACATTTACTCATTTCATCAAATTTCTTTTCTCTAATTAGTTTACCAAATACAGTTTCAACAACATCATCATTAATATTAAGAATGCAATGATCAGGTAACGTCAAATTATCGTGTTGGTCATTCAATGTTCCGTTACCAACTAATAATAAAAATTTTGCAAAATCGACTTCATGAGGTAAAATTCTCATATTCGTTGTAAGATTATATTTGATGAAATGTCTCCATAATTCACTGTATTTTATAGAAAGATTCAATGTTTCACTTCGTGTTCCGTGAAGTCTAATTGGTAAAAGTTGTCGAAAATCACCACCCAAAACCATAACTTTACCACCGAATGGTAAATCATTGTTCATAATGCTCTTAAGCGTTCTGTTAACTATTTCCAATGCAAATCTTGGAGCCATGGGGGCTTCATCCCAAATGAAAACTTTTGTTTCTTTTAATAAAAGACCTTCTTTAGATTGCGCTTTAATACTTGAAGATGAATCACTATACATAGGAACTGGAAGGCCAAATGTTTTATGCACTGTTTTTCCTTTTGAAAGTAAAATTGCAGCAATCCCTGTAAAAGCCATTGAAGTAACTTTAATATTTCTGGAACATAATAAATTATAAATAGTCGTATAGATAAAAGTTTTCCCCGATCCTCCTGGACCATCAATATATAAACAATTATGCTTGCTCACCTGGTCATTAGCATCAGTAGCTAAATCCAAAATAACATCAACAATTTCTTTTTGTTGTTCATTCAATAAATCATATTGTTGTTTTCCAATGTCTGCAAAATTTGTTTGTGATACTTGATCGCTATTTTCAAGTGATAAATGACTAATAATTGTTTGATTCATAGAAGGAAAATCAGACAAACTTTTACCTTCATGATTTAACATATTATGTATGTCAGCGTATGCCAGTTGATGACTTACATCAGTATTGTTTGTTCTTGAAAAATCTTCGGATAATGCATCTTTAAATTCATCCCATAATTTTTCAGGATGTATTGGTTGGCAATGTATTAAAATGCGAACAAATAATTGTCTAAGTCTTCGTGGCATCATCCATAACGTGGCTTCTTGTAGAGCTTTAGCCCATTCTTGGTCATCTTCTATTAGTCCCAGTTCAAGACATGCTGCTGTGAATGAAGGTTGTAGTATGCCATTAACTGTCTTTAATGAATCGAAGCTTGTGGCTCCTCTTACATGTAATAATAGTAATCGCAAGTGGAATAACTCTATTTGTATAGGACTGACCGAAAACATACGTCCGAAATAGTTGAAATGCATTTTACGTGTTACCCATTTAGTCACTTTAATGCCATTGATTTTTTCTTTTTTATATGTAAAAAAATTTGGAATATCACTGTACAAATATTGTCGTGCATTTTCATTTTCAATATTTAACTTGAAAAAATCAAGTAGTTTACTACTTACTTCATTGAGATTTCTTACAGAATTGTCTGCATCATTAGAAATGATTACGCAATGTTGATTTGGTAAATGAACAGGTAATCGTTCTATAGTATGACTTTTATCTTGTAAGGTTTTACTCAGAATTCGATAACATGCCTCAACAGGTCCAACATAGCGAGTTTCTATAAAATTAGAAACTTCATCGTGGTTGATAACATTTCTAGATGAATTTTCAGTTCCAATAGTTACAGTAGCTGCGTCATGCCCTTTATAAATATATTTATATAAATATTTCACAGCTCGAACACTTGAAACAATTTCCACATTTATATGACAATCAAACATTTTTAATAAGTTACGACAATGTGGTACAACCCATCGATTATCAATAATATGACCATTAGGTAGTTCATGTGAAACACCATCATCTTTTCTTTGATAATGAGGATATCCGTTTTCATCCATAGTGGTTTCATCTTGAAATTGTTTTGGAACTTTTTGGAACATTTGTTATTTACCATACACCAATTACCGCATGGACCATGAGTCATATTTTTTACAACAATGTTATATAAATCGGGATCGGTTTCTTTATTCGGCAGTTCAGCGGATATAAATTTGTTAACCGTATCAGGTGTAGTTATTTTGTAAACATATTTCAAAGTAATCAACAAATGCATATGAGGTAGCCCACGCTTTTGAAATTCTACAACATATACATAAGATGCTACTTCCCCAAAAAAATTTTTTTTTGTAACAATGTCAAGTAATCGATTTTTTTTTAAATGAAATACTCGAGCAACAATATCTGGTCTATCACATGCCTGTTGACCTTGAAGAAGGTTTTCTTGAATTTCTTGCCACCTTGGGTTACAAGTTATCGTAAGAAAAATATCTGGTTTTCCAGTTTTACCAACCAAAGCCATTGCATCTTGATAACTTTGTTGCATGTGACGTGGTGAACCCAAGAAAGTTGATGGTATAACAAATAACAGTTTTTCCTATTTGGCCACCGATATCATTTGCAGAATTTTGCAAATAATCATGTAATCCTTGGTATGTATCTGCTTTTAATTCTCTTTGATGATCTTTACACCATTGAATTCTATCCTTTTCAATTTTAACATAAGAATCTACAATCCATTGTTGAAACAATCGACGACCTAATAAAATAGCATTAAATTCATCTGGTCTTATAGCTATTTTATATCTAATATAGGCCATTCGTGTTACTCGTCTACTTGGGTCATTATCATTTACCTTGATACGTTGTAAATTTTTATGCCATCCTTGCGATCCATAAGGATGAAACAATGGGTATATCCATGGCTCCACGTTCGGATCCATAGTGCTAACATTATGCAATACTTTTGTATTTTTATTTCTAATAGTAACATACGACTCTGGAATTTCACCATCGGCTGTTGTTGAAAATATATCAGCAACCTCGTTTGTTCGTTGAAAATTAAATCGTCGTCGATCAGTTCCTGATTTCAAGGTAAATAATAATTGCAATTTAAGTTCTTCTTCGTCATTCATTCGTGATCTCTGATCGTTTATTTCTTGTTTCATCATTGCGTATGACTGTGCAAAGAGATTGTTTTCTCGTATTATTCTGTCTAACGTTAAAAGTGTTTCTTGTCTAAGATGAGGGTTTTGTGACAATCGAACATTAAGGGCTTCTTCTTGATCAACGAAGAAAAGCTGACCATAAGCAGGGTTTTCATTTACGCAAGGGTATAATGCTGTATTGATTTGATAATATATCTGTCCATGAATTTTAAAACAATATGGCCCTGGACGGCGCTGTTGAAAGTTGACTAAATTGGCATTAAAAGAAGCAAACGAAAGCGAATTATTATAATAACGAATATTATCAAAAAAATCATTCGAATTTGCATGAGTTCCATCAAATAAAGACAATAATTCTTGAGGAAAGTCAGAGGTAGTGTCTAAAGTTACTGCTCCATGCGAACAACAATCATTGAAAGATAAACCTTTTTTATCAACTTTTTCTAATTTGAAATGTTTCGCTTTACAATGCTTACACAAAACATCCATTTTTCCTAAATAATCTTGTCCAATTGTAGCATTTCTACGTTCATCATTTAAAAGATTACGTGCAACTTGACGTCTAATTCGCTGGCATTCGGCATTTCTTAAACGTCTTTGAGCTTGATAATCTTGCTGTTCCTCTGGAGTACGTTTTGTTTTTGGTTTCCCCATTTGAAATCGGAATTTACTAATTTTTCTAATTTTTCTAATTTCTCTCGTTTTTCTAATTTTTCTAGCTTTTCTGATTTTCCTAGTTTTTCTAGTTTTTTTATTTTCGTTGTTTGCTTTTTTTTATTTTCTTTGTCTTTACTTCTTTAATTTATTCGATTCAGTTTCGTTTTTCTCTAACTAATTCTTTATTTCATTTCTCTTTGTATCTTAAAATTTCAATAAAAAATATAGTATAATTTATCTCTGGTTGTTTTTCTTTCAATAATATACGGTGTTCAAAATTTTATGTAAAAACTAATATTTACATTTTCAACATTGTAATTTTCTTCTGTAAATCCTTTTCTTAGTAAATAAATTGAATGTTTGTTGAATAATAAGTTGTGAATAAAGGTAATAAAAGTAGGTTCAAAAAAGGCACTCAGTAGCGATGAAGGTAGATGTAATTGATATAAATTAGCAATTTATTGACTATTTTTCATTATCAATTTAAATTTAAATTACATGTATTTTTATTATATATCTTATTTGTCAAATTATACATCATAAATTAAATTATATCTCACTATATCAACGTATTATTACCCTTGAGGAACCTGAAATAAAAAAAATATTCATGAGTATATGAAAAATATTCTTTAAATTCATATTAGATACATTTATTCATCGAATATAATAATATATTTAAATATTTTTAAAAGGCTATGAAGATTCGGGTAAGAATATACCAACAAAGTAGCCATAAAATCAAAAGAATAAGTAAATAATTGAACAACAGATATAACAATAGAAATAACATATATAAGAAATTCTAAAGCAAGTCCTGATGCTTTACATCAAATGAAATCTTAAAAGAATATTCTATTATTATTACATTGTTTCAAGTAGAAATAATATGATAATCTGTATATAGTATAATCTGTATCTGTATATGTATTTAGTATTTATATGTTTTGTATATAATTTTGTATATAATTTGTCCATATTTATGCACCATTAAGGTTATAATTTCTTTTAAATCTATATTCTTATTATCAATATTAATGTTACTCACCTAAGATAATATTTTATTGCTATTGAAAACAATAATATGCCATTTTGACGAAGAATTAATTAAAATCGATGACGATATTATTTGGTTTATAAAAGCAACAATTGCACAGTAGTACTTGATGACAAAAACGTGGTCGCTGTAATAACCGTTGAGTTGCTAATGATGTTGTTTATTGTTGGAATCTTTATTAAAGTTAGGGAGAATAAGTAAAACAAAAGCTTATATTAAAAGGAAACTTTTTAGCAATCAAAGCAGTAAATGGGTATCAGCTCGTCAATGCACGGTGGCTGGACACGGAATGAGATAGGGCGACTTGTCGCGCCACTTCAGTCTCTCCCACCAACTGACCTTAGTTGCGAAGTAGAAACGAATGAATGTTCGCATATCGCCAACATCTATATATATGTATGACAATATGCGCGTGCCCGAATTTAAGTATTGGCTTATTTTATTCAAAAGTAGAATGAAGGACAAAAGTTTTGTTATTAAAATTTTTATAGAAATAAAATAATACAGAAATAGGAACATTTTCTTTTGTTGAAATTACATTCCATAGTAATTACATAATGATTAGCTGACAGGAAAAAAGGTTTCTATACATTATTTACATTACTTATATGTTAGGATACATTATTTTTCACATTGTGAATTTTACCGACCTACTTTTACAGATTACATGTGATATGAGATTAATTTTAAAGTTATGATTTAATCTTAAAAGTATTAATAAATACGAAACTATTCAATACTTTCTATCAACATAATATTAACTCGATAACTATAGTATTTAATACTCAACAATTAAAAAAAATTCAGTCAACTTTTATCGAACTAAACTAAGCCTACTCAGTCAATATTCATGATGATAGAAATCCAGTCTGCATTTTGATAAAAAATAATGTTATGCTTTGGTGAAAAACTATTTTTTTAAATAAATATCTTAAAAACTATTTATAATGCTATCGAAAACTTAGAGTCGGTATTTTAAATAAACATATTAAGTATAATAAAAATACATAATTCAGATAATCTTAAGTTTTTTAAACGTTAGAACAAATATGATAAACATTAATATATCATAAAAATATGAAGTTTTGAAAGTTTTACTTTAAATTAAATCAAAAAAAGGTAAATAGCATAGCGAAAAAAATCTTAGAGGATTGACTTCCGTTTTGGGAACTGTCTTGCATTACAACATTGCTCTGGTGTTAAGCGTGGTTGATCAAAATTTGGTACGATATCAGACATGTTATTACATGATATTGTGGTTAGCTGACCTGTAAACAGAAAATAAAAGTGTGCGTTCAAAAAATATAAAATTAATTATTTATAAAAATAATGAAAAAACAATTAGTACATACCAGTTTCATTTACTTTTCCAGTAACGGTTACAAAAACACCAACAGGAAGTTCTTGTGTTGGGTTATAATTAGTCACTTCCAAATTTATTTTTATTTTTCCATTAGTGATAGCAGAACTACCATAACTGGAATTTGGCCCATAATGATTTTTTATCAGACGAAATTTTTGTTTTAAATTTCCAAATATCGCTGTAAATTTTTTACAATTGTTTAGAAATTTTATTATGAATAATAAATTAAATTTTCAATAATAGCCTAACAATTATAAAAATCATGCATTCAAAACGTATAAAAATAAAAATCAATTAGGTAAAACATATTTCACTATTGAAACTAACTTAATTATTGATTCCTTTATAAAAATAATAGAAAAAAGCTCAAAAGAAAAGACAAGTGTCAGTAAAGTAAAAGAAATTAATTTCTGAATAAAAAAATTAGACACTCACTGATCAATGCATTGTTGTGTTCAGTAATTGTATCGAAATTAACCTCTATGGGACGTACACTGGAAGTCACTTTCTCCTGTAAATTATGGAATCCCAAATACTCTATCTCAGTGCTCGGCTGGATAATGATTTCAAATGGTACATATCCATCGCTCACTTTTTTGGCATACTTCTCCCCCTGCACTTTTGTTAAACCTCCTATGATGTGGACAACCTGCAAAAAGAATATGTTTCATGCAATTTAAAAATAAAGATTAATGTTTAATTATTATTACTTATTCTATTAATGTTTAGTTTGATTGATTGATTTTGTTATTAATACTTACTTTATTAATTTGAATTTCAGGCTCGTACTTGACAATTATCTCTTTCTGCCAAACGCAGCATGACACCTTTCTTTCCCCATTGCTTAATACAAATTTAAAGAGCCTGAATTGGTTTTGCTTGCCTACATCTCTTGGAGCTGAAATCTCCTCGACAAAACCAATGATTTCACTGTAAACATTGAAAAAATCCAATCAAATAAATTCTAGAAATTTCAAGAGAAATATTAAAATACAATTCATACATACGTAGTCTTATCTTTGTCAATGAGTTCTTCATATCCTGCATTATCAGTTAATACGTATTTCTGAAATTGATCCTCTCCCTCATGGTTATTGTTGACATTATTTTCGTCCATGTTAATTGCATTTAAGTTGTTCTCGTTCATGTTTGCATGCATGCAAAAACGTTGTCGATGTGTCGAAATCAAAACTGGAATATTGATTTGAATTAATATTTAAATTATTTTTTTATTTCATATATTTTTTAACCTATATGTTGATTACTTTTATATTAATTTAGTACTGTTTTTTGATAATATACTACAATTTTTCTAATTAAACCTTTAGATAATATTAACTAAATTTTTTTTGTCAAATCCAGTTCAAGTCAAAAAAGCTAATCAGTAATTAAAGTGAAACGGAAACCCACGTGGTGAAACAAAAATCCACGTGGTGTGTCATACAGACATTAGTAAGGAAATAATTTATTAAAATCTTAATTCGCAATAAATACACAATACAATTAACTTGATTAATCGTTATTTAAAATTACTACATTTAATAATACATTTATTTTTGATTTAATGATTGTTTCGTTATTCAACATAACCTTTTATTGTGCTGTATATAATAAATTAAAAAGCATGCTAATAAATTTCTTTTTTCATAAATAGATATACTTATTCATTGATTTAAATGTTAACAATTCAAATATTTAATGAAGTAAAGCTCAATCAATTAGAAGGTACCGCGATTAAAATGGATTATTAAACACTTACCAATCAATCGATGTCAGGAACAAATTGTGAAATGAACTGCACACTGCACACTGGACACTACACAGCCACAAAGTCAAAAAAACGCGACATCTAACGTCTAATTTTTTTGTCACATATCGACGACCACTGACCAGATTACTTGTCAACCCTTCTCTCTCTCTTTCCTTCTCGCTTTCTCTCTCCTTCTCTCTTTTTTTCTCCCTCCCGTTTATACAGATAATATCTCAGCCAATCAGAATACGAATAAGCTGGCTTCACTTTTGCTCGGGTCTCTTTTTTATAAGGGGATAGTTTTCCCCTCTTTCGAATGCGATATCAAAAATAGGGGCTCTTGTTTAAAAAAATTTAAATTTTATGACGGGAGACAGTAATTTAGTTTTTTTTTATAATAATTAACTAGTATTAAGAATAGCATGAGAACTTTCATGATATAGATATAATATAAAAAAAGCAAGATTGAGAGTCGCTACTAAGATTTCCCATGAGGAAAGCACATCTGGAATAAGGTGATTATATAAAACCTGATAGTGGTCTAAGCCTGTGTACCCGACCTTACAATCGCTGCCTTATCCTACTTTGTCCCATTCGCATGCGTTGACAAGAGCCTATGATCATCACGTATATGTCTTGAAGCACAATCACGCTGACAAGAGGAAGAGCCATAAATATACAATCTATCTTTTTTTCCCACCAAATTTTCTCTTTGTAGAACTTTAAAATTTAACACTGAACCAGAATAAAATAAAATTATCCAAGTTACACAATTTAATCTTTTATATTAGATTTGTAACGGGATGCATTAGCTAGTACAAAAGGAATTTATTAAAGCACACACTCCCACGATGCAGAACTAACCGCCGCTCCGTTAAACACGTATGAGTATTCGCCTTTACGTTTGATACTTTCGTTTCAATGTCTTCTTTCCAACAGAGTTGAACTAACCATAAGTCATCTGACTTGTGACACTCAATCTATCTTAGATGTGAGTGACCTAATGCTAATTCCAACTAATCCCCTAGATGAAATCGGTTTAAAATTTAACAGGTGATAGATCCGTTAAACTAATAGGAATCGAAATAACGTAATGCGGTGAATAAAATTAATATCGTTTATCTCTAATAAACTACAGTTTTTGGCAGGCCGAAAGACTAACGTATGCGAATAAGATTTACAATGTTTAATAATAATACGGGTAGAAAGAGAGAGAATTCAAAATTCTGCTGCGAAATGTAACCTTCAGCGCGAATACAAAAATAACAGTCGCGATAGACAAAATAACTGTTGGTGATCCTGCGGGACCAGCTGCTCTGCCTCGCTCACTAATCTGCTGTTTCTCTAACAAAAGCTGCTGCTCGCTTGCTGCTGTATTTTGCTGCTACCGTGATGCTACTTGTGTGTACGTATCCAAAAAATCAAGAAAACTTTTGATGGAAATTCAGCAAAACACAGAGAAATCTATTTGTCGGTACTCTAATACACAACAGCTGAGGCTTAACTGAAATTTTGAACTCTCGCGCGCCCCTTCTCTCTCTTAGACGTTCGCTCTAGCATCGCGAGTGCTACCGAATCGCGAACGTATCTATTGATCGAATCGACTACCGTTGCAGATTATAAATAATTATGGCTCTCTCCATTCTCTTATCAAGTCTCTATTTTTAAGCTCAGAATAAATAGACGATCGTATAAAACAGCGTTTCAGACTACAAAAATATGTAATTAATTTTAGAGAAAAAAAAATCTAAATAATGTACAATAATGCGCACTTTTCAATCATAGATATATAGAATTTATATTACACAATGCAACAATAAATAACAATAGTCGAAATTTTACTACACATTATACTAACAATAACTAGTTTCATAATAAATCAGATTATAAAGTTTACAAATTTTATAAGGTAATTTATAATTAATAATAATTAATAATAATTAATTATAAAATCTCTGTATCTTTACGTAATTTCAGTTTATTACTGATTTCGTAGTATTAAGTGACAATGTAAAATTACAATTAAGTACGTCGACTAACAGTTGTTTGCGATAATTAGTTATAAACGATAGCGTCACTTTTGCTCTCAAAAATGACACTCTAAGAGCCATCTCTGGAGAAAAGGGCCCAAGTTTAGAAAGGGCCGCTCTCTCTCTCTCTCTAAAACTCTCGCCCATAGAGCAATAAAAAAATTCTAGATATGATAAGAAAATTTTTCCACCAATACAAAACTGGGTTGTCATAGCCTCATGAACCTAAAGATTTCCACTTAGCCCCCCCCCCCCCCCGGTATAAAAAGCTCTGCGCAAGCCCGTACAACGAAGAGTTTGTTCGGAAGTTCAAGAGTTTATGAGTCCAATAGCTTAGTAGTAAGAAGAAGCAGTAGAGAGGAACAGCCAGCCCGAAAGAAACGAGATCAGAGAGAAACGGAGAATCAAAGTCATAGAGAGCAGAGAGCAAGAGTAACATTACGATTGGATCTAACATTTGAATTAAAAAAATAAGTAGGTAAACTAGAGAGGCCAAAGATCAGAGGGGCCTCAGATGAGAGGGGGCCTCAAATCAAGGGGGCCTCATATCAGTGATCTGAAGTGCATGATCTATCAGATCAGCACTCCTATTGTTAGGTCATGCACCAAAGTCCCCGTCCCTCCCCCTATCCGCCCAATATGAAATGCGTTTTAAATATTAAAATTTATTTATGTTTATTTGAATTTAATTAATTTATGCAATTTATTTACGTGTATACAGTGTTATGCAGATTTAGCTCAGTGAAGAAAATGAGCAGACACCACAGGGAATCGATCTCGGATCCTATAGATCGATAGACCGTAACCTCTAACAATTGAGCCACGGCAGCTTTTAACTCTTGATAGTTCTTATTGCGTATATTAGCTACACAGCCAGAAAGAGACTAAAACAGCGTTCCCGCGCCCCCCCTCTCAAGTTCATTCGTATGTATGTGCACATTTTAAGAACACGCGTTATCATTATAGATATACATATATATATATATATATGTAAATTAAAATAATTTGCTTTCTTCACCTTTCCCGTCATAGGGTTAGTTTCGTGCTCGTGAGAGTTTACGCCGGCTCCCTTTACCGGAATTGAGCCTGCAATAAATCGCAGGGATGCAGCGTTGACGTAACAAAGCTGCGATCATAACTGTCCCCTTTGCATGGCATCCCTTGTGTTCTTTCGAAATCTTTCGCATCGCTTTGTGGGACAGAGGGGTAAAGGTGATCGTGAAGGCAGCTAGTTGGTATTGCAGTTTTTTAATTGTGTCATAAATAGTGCAGTACATTGGTTGACCATGGCGTTTTCGGTGAGCTCACTGAGTTGCGGGTAAGTACCGGCGAGACGCTGAGAGAGTCTAAGATTTTAATAGAATTGAGTTTTCTTTGTTGTCGATGTCGTCGACACGCTAGGCTCCGGTTTCGCTGAAGCCCGAACGTTCTGTGAAAGGCAAAAAGTGAATATTGCTTTTATTTACATCGTGCAATTAGCGCTAGTAATTTGAAGTTGAGTTTCGAGTTCGAGGCGACGGAGCGCGGCTAGAGTTTCGGCTAATGTGTTAGAAAATATGGTATGAAAGTATGTGACGAGTAAACAAAGTACGACATTGACATCATTACTTTTAACTTTGGTAAATTCGAAGAGAAATAAGTTTAAGTTAAACGAATCTATGAGTGGCAAGTAGGACTTTGTGTTGCGCGCTGGCACAAAGTCACCGCTGCGGGCAAACACAGCGCTCGACGATGACAAGACGTGGCAGGATTACTCCGAAAACGACAGCGGCGCGGGAAAACTAAGAGGACGGTATATCAACGGCCGATAGGCAGATCCGGTTACGGCGTTAAAAAGTTGGTCGGTTGTGTACACAAGAAAGACTGACGGCGGAGTAATTTCTTGATTGCATGAGGTGCAATTGTTTTATAAGGCCCGAGCTGAAAGACGCTACGCAAATTTGAAGACGAATTCCAGCGACAATTTTGCCCGTGACGTTCGCGCGTATTACGTCGCCGTACGCAAGGCGAGGGCAAGCCATTGGGCCAGTATCTTACGGCTTTCCTTTATATCGCGGGTAGGTTAAAACCGGGACTCTCAGAGTGGCGACAGCTGGAATTGATTAAATTAAACTTATATCCGAAACTGCAGAAGTACATTAGATAAAAAAGGTCAAAACGTTGGCGAAGCTACACGCTTGGGGGGAGAAGTTCGAACGTCAGCGCGACATTGATGATTTGTATCGGCAACCTTCAACTCCGCAGGAATCTTTAATGCCGGAGGTTGCGTACCAGGGAAACGCGGCGAATGAGAGGGCGAAATCTGACGCCAAAAACGCAAATTTCGCGGCAAAGGAATATATTGTCTCTGTCCAATCCACGAGTGAGAAGGGCCATTTGCAAATGGTAACCAAAGTCTGAGCGAAAGGAGTCCGTGGCGGCAAGACTTGGCGAGCTCATCGGAAATGTTACCGAAGGAAATGGTAGCCGCGTTATTGAACTCAGCACGATGCGTCGTCTGAGGGCACGAGTACAGTAGCGAATAATGCATCTGGACGTAGAGCGTTCCAGGGTGTATGCTATAAATGCGGGGGTGCGG